AATAGGCTTTTAGTGCTGATATTCATTTAATTAGTTTCTTTTTATCTTGAATATTCTCATTTTACTTGCATCGAATATGATCAGACATACTTTTCTTATACATTAGGACTTATGTTTAAAATTTGCAAAAATAGTATTTGCAAAAAGAATATAAAATTGACGCATAAGTGGATAAAATTGCAAATATTATAAAAATCAAATAATATATCGCAGTTGAATTTATTTCATTTTTATTTTTTTTTGTCGGCATATAAATCCCACTTGCCTTATACGGCCTCGCAGTCAGCGCCGCAATTGTCCCAAACGGTCGCTTCTCCCGTCATTGCTGACGTCAAATTTAAGTCCACCTGGCATGCAGATAACGTCTTCACAACACGTCAGTGCTGGCCCCCACATTCGTGAACAATCATTATGTCAAGTGCAATACAAGCCCCCATTGCTGTTCGTGGAATGCAGCGGATGCTGACGAAAGCGCAAGGCACGTGGGAAAAAAATTTGCGGCGCGTGCAGTTGAGTGACAGCTGGATGAACTGCAGATTCTTTTTTTTTATTATTATTATTTAAAAAAAAAACGTGTGACACGCTCAATTTTACTAAGAAAAAAATTATAAGAAAATGAGTCATTTAAATGGAAATTAATATTTAAGAAGAGAACCCATGACATAACATAGAATAGAGAAAGATGTCATGTAAGAATAGAAAATTTTATTTGAAGCCTTAAGAAAATATTTAATTAAAATATATACAAATGAACTTTGGAGATAATGTATGGGATGATATCATCATAGCTCAAAGATTAAAACTCGATAAAAACAACCTAATATAGTATCTGAAGAACTCTTGAGTTTTCATAACAAGATGTAAAGCATCAAAGCTCTTTAAACAAATTAAAAGTTGGTATGAACAATCAAGAAACAAGCTAAAGTTGAGTTATCTAAAGATAAACATAACTTATAACTGAGAAGCAGAGTGAAATACAGAAATTATAACTTCTAAAGATTTATGATGAAATGTGGATATCAATCTTAGATGTTCACTTTTTTTTTTTTTAATGATCTCATAAATGTATTAGATAAGCATATTGATGTAAGTAGATTTGTTCCGAAAAATTTTATAATACATTGCATGCCAAAAATAATAAGCGGTGGCATTAACAATCAAGATAAAAAACTTTTAACAATTTTGGAAATGATATTAACAAAATAAAATAAAACTGAATAAATGTTATTAGGGCATAGACAAAATTCTCATTAGCCATACAACAAATTTATAAAAAACATGAGAATCTGAGCATTCAAAAAACAAATCATTATGAGATTCTAGATACTCAAACAAATAGAAATAAGAGACTGGTCCAAAGAATTGAGGTCCATAACCTTATAAAAAGAATGATAAAAATAAATAAATCAACAGAGTTGCATAAAACTCTATCTAATAAGCCTTTGATAGAATTAATTAGCAAGCTATTATACTAGCTATAAGAATAACCAACATTATGAAGTTCAAGTAAACTAGTCGCAAGAATACAATTGTTAAAATTAGTAAGCCTACTAAGGATAAGAGAGACACCACCTATTTCCTCTTCAATCCTATGGATACAATTAAAATCCCCAAGAAATATGAAGTGTTGTTTTTGCGAGATCTAAATATACCAATTGATGTGGTATATATATAAATCAAACAGGAGAACAATCGACGAAATCAAAATCAAACAGGAGAACAATCGACGAAGTGAAAAATAGAAGAGAAAAATCACAGCAGAAAAGAACAACATAGCGGAACACACAGATTTACGTGGTTCAGCAAATTGCCTACGTTCACAGAGTTACAGAGGATTTTACTACTTGAAGAATTTACACCAGTCGATCACCTTCACTTACAAGAGGAATCTTTCACTCTTCGTTGCTCTCTCTTCTTTTCTCTCTGTTCTTCTCTCTCTACACCGAGATACACCGAAGAAACTCTACACCGAGATACACCGAAGAAGAAACACGTACAAGAGAAATAAACATAATTTCTCTTGTATCACAAGCCACCAAAAAAAAGCCTAGGGAGAACAATCTTCTTCTTTCTTCACTGCAAGGAACTACCTCTTGCACTCCTCTTCCTCTGCCCCGAGGAAACCAAAGAAGAACTAAAACGGTGACTTCTAAACTTAAAAGGAGAATTGTGCTCTTTATTCGCAACTTAAAGGAGATGGAAGGCGGCGTCGTTTCGCGATCCTGGAGGCGGGAGCAGCGGGTTTTGTGAAACAGGGGAGAACGAAACCGCAGGTCGCGGTCGCGACTCTTTCCGATCGGGAGAGCGGGAGCGGGAAGGATCGCGCCGATTCGTGAAGCGGGCAAAGGACGAATGCGCAGGACAGGTGGAGGTGGGATCGTCGGTCTCCAACGCTAACATGCAGAGATCTTGAATATTCTCAACCAAATAAATAATAGAATTTCATAAATATTTTCTAACTTGAGCCTTGTTATCAACATATAGAATAATCAGAAAGAAATTAATAGAAGAATAATATATATGATCAGAGGTGCCCATGAATGAAGTGCTGATTAGTATCTAGAGAAGAAAAATCCAAATTAGCATGATTTTATTTTAGCTAAATTCTTCTACTATAAGTAATAGTTAAATTATTTATACCCATTATAATAGGGAAAAAATGAAATTATTAAAAGAAATGGGATTAGAAATAGAAGAATTAGAAATTTTAGTTTCAAGAAGAAAAAAAAGATTAAAATAATCTTTTAAAAAAAAATTTTCTCCACATATACTCACTATTAAGCCCCCAAACATTTCCAGTTGCAATATTAGGGAAAAACATTAAAATAAATTATTTTTGTAGATTATCTCCTTTCGTCGACCGACCTTTCTTAAATTTGAAATAGAAGAAAGAGAGGTCAAAGGAGTAACATTCTCAACATTAGAGACCACTCATAATGATAAAACATTTAAATTTAAAGAAACAACTCTCTGATTTTCTTGAGAAATAACACTATTATCATTTTGAAATAACAGAAATAATATGTAAAGCATGCAAGACATCACAATGTTCCCCAAAAAGTACCAAATTTCGCGAAGAAACATTTGGAATTATAGACAAGTCGCGAGCAAATATATGATTAGGAGAAATGATAATAATATTATTAGAAATAGAAGTGTTTTTGTTTTTGTTTTTTTCGAAAGAGTCATCAGTTTTTCTATCATCGTATACTTTTTTTTTTTGAGTAAATCTCTCTTCTGAAGTATCCCAAATACGACATAGCAAAGTATCCCGAGTACGATGTAACAACATATACCAAATACCTTGTAAACAAATAACATTATATTGTCTCGATAACTCCAGACACCGACTATTGACAATTGTCATATTCAGAGTACGACAACTTTATTTGTACTCCTAAAGTTTTCTTTATATCATATAAAGACAAAAACGGTGTTTGGAAGAAAATTGTAGCCCCACTATCTGAGATAAGGGGTGCAGTCACCAAATATGTTCTTCGTGGCCAACTAACGTTATTGCAGTCACCAACTATGACGTATGTGGTTGACTGATGCTATCACAATTTCTAACTACTTCCTGTGTGGCTATCTGATGCAATTACAGTCACCAATTTCGTCTTTGTGGCCGACTGATACTATTACAGTTTTTAAGATGATCTATGTGACAAATTAATGATATTGTAGTCACCAACTAGAGCTTTTGTGGCTAACTCATGCTACTATAGCTCCCAACTATGAGATTTATGACTCAAATGTTGTTATTGTAGTAAGTGACTATGGTCTCTATGACCATTGATGCTAGCTATTACAACTATTAAGTACGATCTCTATGACCAACTAATGTTATTAAAACTTCTAACTACAACCTATATAACCAACTGATGTTATTATATTCATAGAATGCTACCTCTGTGGTCGATTGTCATAATTACAACTTCCAACTATGTTCTTTATGGCCAACTGATGTTATTGTAGTCACCAAATACAACATTGTGGTCAACTGACGATACTACAACTTTCAACCACAACATTTATTACTAACTGACGTTATTGCAGTCATAAACTACGACCTCTATGGCCAAATAAAGCTATTACAACTTTCAACTATGAATTTTATGGCCAACTGTAGTTACTACAGCCACCACCAACGACGTATATGACAACTTGTCGCTACTACAGTCATCGACTACAACCTTCATGATCAAATACATTTGCTATATATAACTTAATTATGACTATTATAGCCAAAAAATTATTCTACATATGTGATTATCAGCTTTGTAATTCCATCTTTTTTGATTCAGGAGAAGAGCTAACATATGTACTTACAATTACATAATGTATTGCTTTGATTGAGCTATTATTTGTGGACTTGGTTTTTTCTCTTGTTAGAATTTTTCAACATAAAAATTATTGAAGTTTTCTCTTGCTACTTTTCAAATATTTATGAATCAATTAAATCTTTAGGCAACGCTAAGATGTTAAATTATCTTTCTACCATTGCGAATCTTCCTGCAGTGACCAAGTATATTCAAAGGTTTATTAATTGAATGATTCGACTTAAAATAGGCTTTTGCTTAAAATAATGTTCTAGATAGTTCATACTTATTACATACCTAATCTATTTATGCTTTTCCTAAGTAATTGAATAGATAAATGATATAATGATTTTAACATTCATAAGATTTATATTATGCAATAATTTTATCATATAAGATTAAATTTATAAATTTATGAATTAAAACTAATTTATTATAGTCATGAAAAAAATTTATTTTCAACATTTAAGTACGTATAATTGTTCATAATCATATTAATGGGATGTTATAAGATTAATTAGCCATTTGTTAGAAAACAATGAAATATCATCCTAGCTTTATCAAATAAAATTATAACTAATATTTTTATAGATCATTAAATTGAAAAGATTAAAAAAAAATTATTTAATATAAAAATAGGATTGTACAACCAGATCTTGGCCTTTTTATAAACCTCGACAAATTGGGAAACTTTTGACTGAAACAGAAGGGAAAGGTCGCGGTGGAGGGAGTTCATCTCGCTTTTGTTCTTCATTTCTCAATTTGTTCCAGAGGATTAGGGTTTGGATATTATTCTTTATAGGGAATCGACGAATTTTTCTGTTTTGCGTTTGGATTAAGATGGTTCAGCTGACGAATTTCGACAAACTCTGGCCTGAATCGAAGCAGCTATTCACAACGATGGCTGCTGTGACGGTTGGGGTGAAGGAGGAGATCGAGGAACAATTGGGTGAAATGCAGGGTCCTCTCAACAAGAGATCGAAGCTAGCTGAGTCCGCTGAGAAGGTAGAATCCTTGTTTTTTAGCCTAGTTTTTGATCTTATCGCGGCTTGAGTCGACCGTGGTTATTGTGTTTGATTCAATCGGTGGGTTTTTGGATGTGGATTATGGCTTTTTTTGTTTAAAAAAACCTATTATTTGGGGGGTCGGCTCCTATGATCACTTGGCGCCATTTAGGATTTTTTTTTTTTTTTTTTTGTTTCTTCTCTTGAAGATTTGGAATGCGTTGTAGTACAACGGATTTCCTCCTCAAATTGGTAATTTTATGAAATGCTTTTCTATGATGTTTTGGTACTGTAACTTTTCCTTGCGATGGAATTTGTTTATTATTTTGATTTTAGCTTGTTGTGGAGGGCCTCTCTGTTGTTTGAACTTATGCTTTGGATAAGTGGCTATTTTCATGTCTTCGTTTTGCATTTTTGCATGATTGCTAAATCTAGCTCCGATAAAGTTATCTGCTTAAAGAGTAGGTTATGCAAATCTTTATCCTTTGGTTTATCAGTTGAATTAGTTTTGTTTACTGTTTTGATCTATGGCAGCTGGAAAGCAAGCTGATGATGCTATCGCCAGCTTACGATCCACTGGACGAGCCAAGTCCACTTGGTCTTCGGCTGAAGAAGAGCCCATCTTTCTTGGATTTGATTCAAATGAGGCTTTCTCAGGGAAAGCCTGTTTCAACATCATCTTACGTGAGCAGTGGCCTAGAAACTGGGATGAAGATGGAACTCAATTCTGCGGCTCTTTCAGGTTCTGTGGACAAGATGAAAGCCTCAAACTTTCCTGCTTCAATTTTGAGGATTGGGAATTGGGAGGTAAAAAAGGCTGTATTTTGCCTTATTTTGATCTGGCATTCAATTTTTTACCTTATTTTGCACGGTGTAGTTGCTTTAGAAGGGTTTACGTGTCTGACTTGTTCACAACTTTATATGTGTGAGTACTTCTCATGCAGTTCCTGATTCATTTTTGAAGATCATTTTATTCCTTTTTTAAGATTTCCAACCTGGCCTCAAATTCAGATTTTTAATTATAGGGAGGATAATTTGTTCTTTTGTCCCTCCCGAAATATCATTTTCCTTTCTGTTACCCTAACCCTTCTCATGTTGGGTTTAGGGAGCTTGTCCCCTTTTAAAAAACAGGTTGTTCCGATTCTGTGAACCACCATTGTACTTAAAATTAGCTTTTCCTTTGACTGCATTGTGAAGAGTAATTTATGGGTTTTAATGTAATACGACTCAAAGAATTGCACAATATCTGTGTTTAATGAAGATACTTTGTTGAATTATGTTTTTTTCTCTTCTCTTGCGTTGCATGATTCTTATTTTTAATGGATATGCTTTTGTTGAAATCGACATAATGTATAATGCAACTGATTCATTATAACAAGAGATCAGTCAATGTGTTAATATTATCCAGTCTTTGGCTTTAGCGAGTTTTTAACATTTTTATTCCTTTTTTTCTATTTCTTCAGATCGTCAAAGAAAACTTTTATTGCAAGTACTATGAAATATAATAATTCAATTATAATAATTGATGTTTGTTTATGCGTGCTAAAACATTAACAGAACATGCTAAATGGTTAATATTTTATTCCGAACTTCTCAAATCCATCTACGTGTCTACAGCTGTGGAGCCCCTGTTTCTTTTGTGCTGAGTTCATCATCCATCATCATCATCATCATCATCTATTATTAGAAGTAACCTCAAGATTAAAATTCACTTCTCGTATTTTTTAGGGTTTGTGTTAAAAATGAGAACTAAGTTCCATCTCAATTCAACCAAGTGAACACTTGAAGTTCTGTAATAACTTTGGAACAGTTAAAATGAAAACAAACTAGCTTTATTTGCAATAACTTCTGCTAAACTGTTGTTTCGCTATAATTCTCTAATCTTAATTATCCAATACAATAAAAGAATCAAATGGTTAACTTGTCTAATCAGTTAATAAGAATCTACTGATTAATTAAGCATCAAGTCTGAGTGGGTGTGCCTATATACCCATACAAACACACACACACACACACTCTCACTCTCTCTATATATATACACATATTATCAACAGAAAATAACGTCTCCGGAGTCACTATTATATCATTCATCAACAGAAATAAGTACCTAACCATAATTGTTATGCGAGCCAAGGATCATTCAAGAACTTGTTCTTCAAATTTGGGGAATAGAACCCCTTCACTTGTAGGAATTGAAATTGAAATTTGAAGATGGGGTGGTTGCATGTAAAATGGTGGTCGCTAGTGAAGCTGTACGAGGAAATTCAAAAGTTGAATTTTTCTCTTGTTTTTTCATATCCTTTCCAGTGTTAATGGGCAGAAAATTTAGACTTTTTTCTGGGATGGTGGATAGCTTCTTCCTTGGAGAAGAAATAAGAAGCTTTAAGGTAGCCCTTTTCAGATTTAATCTTCACTTTTCCTGCTTATCTAATGATCAGTTTTTAGAAAGCACATCCCCTCAATTAGGAAATGGGTTTATATTGTCCATCTTCACCATGTATAGTGTGAGCGTTTGATGTTGCATTTTTACTGCTATGCTCTTAACTTTGTTTGATTATTATTTTTCCTTTAAAAATGAGATCTTGTTTCGTCGCATGTCGTGTCTAATAAACCGTTAACTTAACAGTATGTTTCGAGGTATGAAGGTGATTTAGTAGCCAAGTGTTATTATGCAAAACACAAGCTCGTCTGGGAGGTGCTTGATGGTGGTCTCAAGAACAAGATTGAAATCCAATGGTCAGATATCACTGCACTGAAAGCAACTTACTCAGAACATGGATCTGAAACACTGGATGTTGTGGTAAGGCCTTGATATATAAATATGTTGTATTAAGTTTCTGCAAATATCATGTTTATGTTAATCTTTTTGGTTTTGTTCAGCTTGCGAGGCGGCCACTTTTCTTCAGAGAGACCAATCCTCAACCCAGAAAACACACACTATGGCAGGCAACTTCAGATTTTACTGGAGGCCAAGCAAGCATTCATCGGTAAGTGCTATGTATTTTTTCGTAGGTGTTTAAAATTATTATAATTAAATTTCATTCTTAACATGCCAAAACAATACTTATAAAGAGTATTTTGCATAAACAAGGGTGTGTAATACATAAAATATGTGCATTAAGCTTTTGAAATGATAATTTTGGCCTTTTTTTTTCTGACATAACTATGGAGCTCTATTCCGTTCCAATTATTCTTCTTTTAGATTTTATTTTCTGTTGGTAAATCCTGGATTCGATGCTATTCTAATACCATGCATGCATCCAGGAGGCATTTTCTGCAGTGTCAGCAAGGCTTATTAAATAAGCATTTTGAGAAACTCATACAATGTGATCCACGTTTAAAATCTCTAAGTCTGCAATCAGATATCATCTTGGAATCTTCCTGCTTTGAACCTTCATGCTCGGAGGACAAAGAAGAATCTAACTGCCTCGGATTTCATAACCTGAAGCAGAATCATGCATCCTCAGCTGAATTTCATGATCCCAACCCACTCCGTTCTAACACTGCAGCAACGAATACTGCTGATGCAGGTCTTGATCTTTCATAAATCATCTGATTTCACTTTCTGATAGTTTTCTTGCAAATTAAACTCATATTTTGATCTCTGATTTTTTGGCTAGGCATTTCCACTATGGGGGTTGAAGCACCAGAACTCGGATCATCCATGTCTAAAGAAGATCTGGTGAGCCATTTAGAACAATGCATTTCAGAGCAGAAGGCTTCAGGCAACCCATTCTTCTCATCTGATTCCATCCTAAACAAAGAATTGTTGGAGGAATGGGCTGATTATTTCCTCGCAGATTCTCAAACCTCTTTTCATGATGAAAAATCTCTCTTATCGAAAGTAAACTCGTTGAACTGTCTTCTTCAAAAGGCTCCATCGAATGAGAACTTGCAGTCAGCCATCAATGCGGGCATGGATGTTCAGCAACATTTCATTGATGATGATTCCAAGCAGCTGGATAGGAGAAAAGTTTTTGAAGACCCGCAGCAGGCTTGTGGGATTTCGAGGAAGGATTCCATTGGTGAATTTCTGATGAATTTTCCTCGAATCGCTTCTATTCCACAGTATTTGCATCTCTTTAGTATAGAAGAAGATAATCACGACGAAGGTATCTTTTAAATGCCAACGATGGGGTCACAGTCTTTGTAAATAGTAAAGTCTGTCCAGTGCTGATGAGTTTTTGGGCTTACAGTTTGTGTTTTGGGATCTTAATTTCGTACTCGCTAAAAATAAATTCCATAAAGCTTTTATTGCCTTGTTGATGAGTTCGTTTATCTTTTAGTTTAGGAAGATTTGCATGCATACTGCCCACTTCTTATGTATTTACATATCTAACTCCTACACCTCAACTTTTATTTACACATGCATGCATGCATGCATGCAACCTTATCTATTTCACCTTTTAGAAGTTAAACTTGAAAATGAAGTTTAAGCGGTGTTAGATATGTAAATACATAAAAATTGGGTGGCATGTGTGTAAATGTCCCCCTTTAATTTTTGGTTAAGTAACAATATTGTGAATCTGTGATGAAAACATTAAAACCAAAACATCTGCAGAGGTTAGAAATATCAAAGATGTATGCATATGTATATATATATATATATATATTCACCACTTTTATACATCGAATCCAAAACATCCAGTAAATATTCTTAACTATTTACAATGAACTTCAACATCCCACAAATAAGTAAATAAAAGAACTATATCTATTGTGTTTTTATTCTATGAATCCCTTCTGGGATTCCAAGAACATATAAAACTTGGGTGTAAATCAATTTTCACAATACCTGAATGTCTCACTGCTGGCATATAAGCTGAACAAATCCAATGAAAGAGAGAGGAAAAGAAGAGGTTTAAGGAGCATCCCCTTCAACTGCTTCATCCCCTTCTTCAAACATGCTCATAAGCATGGATATCTGATTCTTTAACATGCCGTTCTCCCTCTCAGCATCGGCTCTCTTGCTGCGCTCATCAAGCAGCTGTAGCTGAAGACGTTCAAGGCATTTACCATCTTCCTCAAGCTGCTCATTCAGACCATCAATCTCTCTATCCTGTTCAGTTTTTTTCTTCTCAGAATTAAAATTCTTAGTCATCTGTATTTATTTGAAAGATTTACATGCATATCACTCAATTCCTATGCATTTACATATCTAACGTCTAAATTTTAATTTTTACGTGCGTCTCCATAATATATATATGCCACCTTTCTTATGCATGAAAAAGTGTATTTGGCTTTTTCAAAGTTAAAATAGTGCTATTTTTAATTTGATGTGAAAGAATTTGGGGAGTATACATGTAAAAAAAACAAAGTTTTGGTGTTAAATATATAAAAACAAAAGAATTGGGTTATATGAATGTAAATACACATATTTATTTTTCCAACTTCTTTCTTCCTCAGCTTAAGCAGCAGCCCGCAATAAAAGAGAGATTCGATGCTTTTGAACGACAAGTTCCTACAAGACTCAATCTTGTATTCTCATTCTTCGTTGTCATCATAATTTTTTTTTTAATTCATTGTGAATTTCATAAAATGCAAGCTTCTAATTATGTAATCCATACAGGTGTAATGATCCTACAATTAGAAATTTTATTGCTTTTCTAAGGAAAACAACTTTTGATTCTATTATATCCAAATAACAGTAAAGGCTGAACATTCATTTCTAGCAATATTCAGTCTAATAAAGGAGCTTTACAATCTTTTATCTTCCCATATTTAGGCTTCAAGCAACACTGTCTTATTTAAATGTATAATACATTCCTAATACTTAAAGTTGTCTTGATTTCAAGCACATTTTAAGCTGTTCTTGCGAACAGCGGTGGGACCAAGATTAAGTCCAGGTGGATAAGTGCCCCCCTCTAGAATTTATAATTTATCTATATAAATAATAAAATTTAATATTTTTTCTCTTATGTAGTTTAGGTAATTTAGTAATTTTTCCCTCGATATATTTAGTACAAGAAAATTAATCATTTAGTGATACCAGTTAATTCCTATGTATTTACATATCTAACACCTAAACTTCATTTTTCACAAATATGCCAACCTACCTAAGCATAACAACGTGTTTCTTTTTGAAAGTTAGATAGCGATATTTATTATGATATATGAAAGATTTGGATGGTGTAAAATGTAAATGTAAAAAGTAAAGTTGAAGGGTTGGATATGTAAATACATAGGAATTAGGTGCTTATGTAACAATCCAAAGAGGTCAGAAAAGACCTTTCTGTTCATCTCCTGGATAGCAATCCTCCTCATGCTTTCAACCACATCCACATTTACGAGCTTTCGCTTCTTTCCTACTAACCATCCTTTGGGGTAAGAGGTGGAGTCAAAATCCGGCGGAGGGAGGAGTTCTTCAGCCGGAGTTCGGTTCTTGCCATCTCCACGGTGACCGATCGGCTCCAACGGTTCGAAGAGAGCTCGGCGTCTATCGGAGATATCTGGTTTAGGATCATCTTGCTTCTTATTGTCGTTCAATTGGGTTGATTCGGTTTTGTTTTCCTTTGTAATATCATTAAGAACTCGGCTGTTACCCTCTTCCTTCAATGAATTCTCTAAGCTACGGGCGCTAGCTGAACAGAATGAGATCAATATATGTTTAATTCCATTTTTTTTTATAAAAACATATTTATAGTTGAATGAAGGTTACTTGTTTTTCTAATCAAAACGCATTACAAACAAAGCTTGAACTAGTTATCTGAGTAAGATTGGATCACGTAACAACAAAAATATTTGTTTTAACATATAATTCATAGGGTTGTAAATGAAGCAATGCACTTGATGAACAACTTGAACTCGGCTCGATTAATACTTGATCATGCATGTTCAAATTAGTAAATAAATAAGTTTAAATAATTTCTTTTAAACTTGAAGGTTAAATGAACCGAATTTGAATATGGCCCAACTCTTTTATTAATGTTCACAAACGAGCTTATTTATTGTTTAACAAATACTATGAGAAATGCTCTATATTTGTATGATATATTATTAAATAAATTTTGATAAACTAGAAGTTATATGATTATATATTTAAAAGTAACATGCTATAATTTAATATCAAACATAATTACATAAATTTGATGCAATTTCTTCTTATTTTTTTATTTTGACAAACTAATTCATAAGTAATTATTTACATAATTCAAGAAAGCTTACTTACAACTTATATATTATTTTATTTACTTGATATAAATAAATTAGAAGCTAATTTAAAATGTACTCAACTAGTTATTTATTTAGATGTATAAAATTATTTGTTAATAACTTTATATAAATAATCAAGTATTTATTCAAATTTTTAGCTTATTTCCTAAACTTATATGAAAAATCAAGTACAAAGCAAAATTTTAATTTTATATCAAATCTTCAATCAAATTTTTGACTCGTTAAATTAAAGGAAACAAGCCAACAACAAATCAGGTATGATCATTAAGAAATTTAAGCAAGCGAAGCATAGACATATGTGGGAACTCGGCACAGGCTCAAACCTGAACTAAACACGAACAATGCATGATATACTTCACTCAACTCGACTCAAGTACAAATAATTCATCAAACTGAAGTTTAGAAGCAGCATCTAAGCTACAAGATTCATCTGAGGCATGGCAAAGTCATGAAAAATAAAAAAGCCTCCGTTTACATAAGGCCATACATTCGGAGGGCCATTCTGAAATTGCTTATAAATGAAAAATTTCAAATCTGTACACCACAATTAATAGACATTCTATTCAAGTCCCACCAACTAAAAAATTAAAAAATAATAATAAAAAAACCAATTCTACAAATATTCAAGGTGCAAGGAGCCAAATAACCTGATAGCCAGCAGAGTTAAATAACAATTTATTCTTTTGGTTTGAACTTGTTGTAATACAACAGAGCATAAACTAAAAAACAAATAGGCAAACCAAGAGCCAGCTAAGTTAAATAATAACTAACAATAAATGCAAGATTTTCAAAGCATATGCTTCGAAGAAACCAAAGACAAAGGGAGAGGCAAAGTTGTGCCGTTAAAGCCAAGCAATCTCAATCATCTCCCCTCTCTCTCTTCTCTAATTCTCCTTCCAATAGCTAATTAATCTAAAACTGTGATTATGGAATTGAAAATTGAACAACTCTCTCGATTCGTAACATCTAAAAACAAAGAAATATGGGATTTCATGTTGAATTAATCCATTCAGAAAGCTGGAAGATTACCTGATCTCTTGCGCGAATTCCAGAAGATTCGCGGTGGCGAAATCGGTGAGAATCCGTCCATCATTTTATGACACAATCGCCACAAAGGATCTAGGGTTTTTGCTCTCTTTTAAGAGCTCTTCTTCCTCCTGCATCCGCCCAAATCCACAGAAATTAGTGATTAGACAAAGAAAACAAGAAGGGTAAAGAATGGATTAAAACTAGGCTTCACCTGGGAAATTACTTCACATGCTGGGAGAGAGTCTCCGTCTCTGCGTTGCTGCTGGTTTATCTCGGGTTGGGATTATCCGAAGTTGTTGGATGCGGGGAAGTTTGGGGCCTCCTTTTTCTCGGAGGGGGTATAATGCAGAGTTGGTGTGTAGGAAATGTTCAAACCAGCGTAGAAGGGAACCGTTGGATCGAGAGAGAGAGAGAGAGAGAGAGAGAGAGAGTTGTTGAAGTGAGTGAGGGTGGTTGAAGTTGATGGAGAAAGGGAGCAGATGAGCTAATTAAAAGAAGGTCCAAAGGAGCGAGCATTTGGCAGACATGTTCATACTTAAAGTTTGATATTTACATTTATAACTGATATGAACTAGAAAATTCACAACGGTAGAATAACAGATTGTCTTAGTGTGGTACAAAGATTCAACACACTAAAAAAAAAACAAATCAACTAATAATGATACTATAAGTTTTTTCATGGAAAATCAACAAAAATCATGGGTCTAACCCAGCTAAAGAGTTCTACTATAAAAAGATAATTACATTTGCAACCGCTAGGAAGGGGCGGTGATCGATAGCAATTGGTTGTGTCTAATCGGTGGTGATCAACGATGGTTAACGGTGATCTACAACGGTCAACGGTGATCGACGGTGATCGGCGAAAGTCGACGACGGTCGACGGTGGTGATGTTGGGCTTCTGCTCATTCTCAAAGCTTC